TCTTTGAGAAGAGATTGTAATCAAGCAGCCACATACCCTCAAAACCCTACCTCCTGTCACCTGGCTGCAATAAAATATCTGATCATATATCCTCCTGAAGACAGCCGGCTCTCAGGAAGGTAATGCCAGCTAACCTTTTCTGTTGGACACCATCATGGCTCAGCTTGGTACTTGGCCTTTGGGGGATACAGAAGGGATCAGTCCTAAAATCCTGGAGATATTCCTAGCTCCTGAGGATCAAGGGATTGCAGTCAAGGATAATGCTGTATCAGGAAACAAAAGAAGGTTCTCAGACACTCAGGGTAGAAGGGGAGCTCAGAAGAAGCACAGAGAGGAGAGAAGGGGCTGCAAGGAGCTGTTGGTTCTGTTTTGGTCAATTCTGAAGCACAAGAAGAGGTGGGATTAACTGACACCTTTTTCTTTTCTCTCGTGTCATCGACTTGAGAAAGACAGGAGTGAAAGCAACTGCTCGTCTTCAGAGCCTAACTGTGGGAAAAGATGGCTCTGCCTCCGGACAGATTGGAACTGCACACCCTCAGGCACTGGGGTATGATGGTGACATCATGGTGATGGGTCCTTCTGGTGCCTGGGAAACAGCTGGGCCACCTTCAGAAGCAGGTACACAGAGAGCCACGGCCTCGTCTGAAGAAGGAGCAGTTCATGTGCCCATGAACAAGCACCACTGTTGTGTGTGAGCCTCACTTGTGATGGTTTTCCTGGACAAAGTGAGATGAATTAATTAAACCCTACTTTTCCGGTAGACCTTCGCTATCGTAAAGTTCTCCCGCCAGCCCAACTGCTGATTGGGATTCCAGGGATTCAGGTAGGACAACAGGCCCATAGGTGGTGTTGGAGACAAATGGAATCATACTGGAAAGACTAAATAACTAGTCCCAGTGGGCTAACTTTCCCTCCAGACAGTGACATAAAGGAGAGCTGCTTCCTAGTGAATCCGGATTACTCAAGGGTGCAATCTGTGTCATCTCCAGCACCCGGAGAAGTATCCTAGAGGGCAGTGGTGTGCAGGGAAATGTCAGCAACCAGCAATCTGAAAAAATAATCTATGCACACATGTGTGAGTGAGTACATGTTTATTATAAATGCCACTAGTTTAAAATCTACAAATAATAATAAAAGATACTATATCCTATATATTCCATATAGTCAATTGATTCTCAAAGCATACTTTTGCTCATTTTTACCAAGTTCTTGCATCTGCAGACAATCTATGGTTACAACTGATCAACAAATATAACTTTGGGGATGGGGCTGTGGCTCAGWGGTAGAGCGCTTGCCTAGCATGCCTGAGGCACTGGGCTTGATCCCCTGTACCACATAAAAATAAACAAATAAAGGTATTGTGTCCATCTACAATTAAAAATTAAAAAAATAAATAAATATAACTTTGACATGAATGTTGATGTTTCCATTTTCATTAATGAGTAACACAAACACCAGACAACTCCTTTGTGCATCAAACATCACCTGGCTACCCAGGCATGGTGGTGCACACATCCCTGTGATGCCAGCAACTCAGGAGATTGAGACAAGAGAATCACAAGGTCAGGAACCATCCMGCAACTCAGCAAGACCCTGTGTCAAAATAAAAAATAAAAAGTRTTGGGGAGGTAGCTYAGTGRTAAAGCTTCCCCATGGGTTCAATCCCCAGGGCCACATCATCCCCCCAAAAAGTCACTTGGCTAAACTGGATAATAGTTTTCAAACATTAGAGAATGTTTACTCATGTGTTGGTGCCATTCGTGATGCAATGGTCACATTTTTAAATCACATTAACACTGTTCATCACTTTCATAAGTGTAATAATCAACTAAACAATTATGCAGTAAAATAATTATGAAGGAGAGGGTTTTGAGTGCTATCTTTGCTTTTCTCTCCCTCCTTCCCTCCCTCCCTCCCTTCCTCCCTCCCCCCTCGCCCCCTCTCTTTTTTGGTACTGAGGATTGAACCCAGGGGCACTTAWCCACTGAACCACATCCCCAGCCCTTTTCTTATTTTACTTAGAGACAGGGTCTCACTAAATTGCTTAGGGCCTCACTAAGTTGCTTAGGGCCTCACTAAATTGCTGAGGCTGTCTTTGAACTCATCATTCAGCCTCCCAAACCGCTGGGATTACAGGCATGTGCCACCATGCTTGGCTTACTTTTGCTTCTAATATAACTGTTACATGTAAATGTTACTTGTAAGGCAAAAGTCAGRCAACAGACATAAAATGACTGTTGTAGTTAAAAATGGAGAATACAAGCCAGTACACCGCACGTAGTCAACTCCATCCCACATCTAGAAGCTCCTTTTAAATAAGAAAAAGATAAAATATATCACAAATTCTCAGAGTAAAATCTACCATTTCTTAACATGACAGTAAAGTAAATATTTGACCCATAAAGAGACTGGAAGGGGAGAAGCTGGTCTATGTGCACTTGTTTTCTTTCGGGAGCAAGTCACTAAGAATGTGTATCTGGAAATGAAGTGTCAGAGTGACAACAGGAACAGGAACAGGACCCAGGTCCCTGCCCAAGGGCTTATAACAAAGGCTCAGACCAGGSTTTCTTCCAAAAATGTTTTTAATTCCAACATCCATCTTAATGGCCTCCTATAGACTAATTTAGCCAATAGTTGCTATTATACTAAAAATGGAAGCTAATGATTTCCACTAAAAACAACCAAGCCAGTATTATCAAAGAATGTTATAAGAAACTGATTATCATGGGTGCATTTGTTTTCCACTTCCTTTTCCCTGTAGAAAGCCTTAATAAGATTTCCACATCAAAAGCAAAACCATCTCTTCCTCTCCTGGGACCCGAGAATATTACAAATGTGTTCTCCAGAGGCAGCTGCCCCCAGAGCGCCTCTTCCCAAGACTCACCACGATCGAGGGTGCACCACCTGCGCCTGCTCAGTATCTGCCATTCAACACGTGAGGGCACATCAGCTTCCTTCCTTTGAACACCCACAGCGCCCAGCACTTGGCTCCGTGCTACGAAGCTCTGCACATTTTACAATTTCCCAAATAAGTGCATTTTGAAAGAAGAACAACTTTTAAGGCAAAAGTCAGATCACAGACATATAACACAACTGTCTAACTGGAGGAAACCTGGCAAAAAAATAGATGAAAGGTTTGTAGATGTCACTGCTTGAATTAGCAAGGAATGCTATAAGTGAAGCACATAATTATGATATGATTAAGTATTTTAACTGGCACTGATCCAAGCAGAATTCACGTTTCTTGAGTCATACCAACATTCAGTTTTAATCTATTTGACATAAATACTCTGAAATCATTTATTAGYTTCTATAAAATGAAATTCAAATGTAATATAGAAAATTATCTGTTCCAGGAGGAGTTAATGAAAGGGCTTGTTACAAAGGAATCTCTAAAATTATCAGACAATTACAATAAAGTTCCTGGCAAAGCCTTTCTGCGACATGACMTTAATTAAATGTTTTTAATTTTATAACTTCTAGAAATGAAAGAAATGATTAGCTTTCATCTTCCTCTGAGGATTCCCCATATTGCTATTAAACAATGATGAACTGAATAATTTTTTTGTATTGGGGATTAAACCCAGAAACATTTTACCACTGATTCACATCCCCAGCCTTTATTATTATTATTATTATTATTATTATTATTATTATTATTTAAACTTTATTTTTATGTGGTGCTGAGGATCAAACCAAATGCCTCACACGTGTAAGGCAAGCACTCTATACTAAGTCTCAACCTCAGCCTTGTTGTTATTTTTTTATTTCAAGACAGGGTGTTGCTAAGTTACTTAAGGTCTCACTAAGTTGCTGAGGCTAGCCTCTAACTTGCAATCCTCCTGCCTCATCCTCCTGAGTCACTGGGATTACAGGAGTATACCACCATGCCTGGCTGAACTGCATAATTTTAACAGAAAGCTCTAGTTTCAGGGCCAACTCAGAATTATTTTCCTGCTTAATGAATTTCCCATTTCCACTTAATGTTGGGAAGCATGTTTTGGGGCCTTTTTCAGGATCCTGACCAAAAGGGTTTCCCAGGCCAGGTAAGAGGTCAGAGAAGCATGTACACACACACACACACACACACACACACACACACACACACACACGCCTGCTTTCTTCATGTAGCTGCACAATGCGGCCCCCTGCTGTGTCCGTGCCCACCCATAGAACAGAGAGCAAACACAGCAGAGTCCCCAGGGCTGCAAGCACATGGGTCATCTACACCCATGCTGCAGGTCTTACTGATGGCCCCACAGATAATTTCCTATAACATTTGAATATCTCAATGGTCTTACCTCATGGTGTCATAATGTTATTTTGGATAAATCTAATGGTATCAGATTGAACAAACATTTTTCTGCCTGTGCCTTAAATTATGGTTTCTTAAATGGAATATCCAATTTATGGGAATAGATTACCTGAAAAAAACTAAGGTAGTGATTTTATTCTAAGTGACCTGTCCCATTATATCAGTGTATTTCCCCTCTAAAGAAACCAAGGAGCATAGACATACTGCACTAACAAAAACATTTTTTTAAAAAAAACCCAAATTTTAAAGATCATCTAAAAATCTAAATGGCCTGATATTACTTAAGGGTTGTTGATACAATGTACTTTATAGCAGGCTCAGTTTGGGAAACTGGGAGAAGAAAATTCCACTTTCTTTTTCTTTTTGGAAACCAGGGATTGACTCAGGAGCACTTGACCCCTGAACCACATCCCCAGCCTATTTTGTATTTATTAGAGACAGGGCCTCACTGAGTTGTTTAGCACCTCACTAAATTGCTAGGCTGGCTTTGAACTYGMGATCCTCCTGCCTTCACTTCCTGAGCCGCTGGGATTACAGGTCCACTTTCTCTTTATACCTGATCATCACTATCTAATTTCAGCCATGAAAAGAAGTTTTAACAGAATCCTAGAGAAACATTTCATTTGGATCATGGGATTGCTTAAAGAAGGATGTGYATTCTGAGTTAAAATCAGGAAAAAAAATGTTGGATTTTTACTATTTATTCAGCATCAATTCACCATTGATTCACACTTCAAGGGTTAATTTCTCAATGCAAAAATTTCCTTTAATGCATATTTTTTTTTTAGTAGAGCTCTTTCCTCCTCTCTACACCATGTGATCCTAGTCCTTTGAATTGTCCAGGTAAACCAACCTGCCTCACCAATGCAGCCCCCTGCAAGTACTCTATAGAAGTGGACTCATCAATTAAAAGCCAGGTCAGTACATAGCACAGCTTGAAGAAACTGCCTTCAGTTCATTGCAAATTACCAGGGCAAACATTTGTACTTCAAAGTTGACAAACAGAATAACAAGCCTCAAAGACTATTATCTCTAAAGAGATTTTGTCCTACCAAATTCTACATCCATGTATGGCTCTTATGCATTCRTGGTTAAGAGTCAAAGATAACAATTAAAGCAACAAATGCCATGGGCGGTGATCCCAAACCACCTGGCCTCTCACTACACAGGCCAACCTGCTTCCAGCTCAGTACTAAGAATATTATTCCAAACAGCACARTCAGTGCTGATCTGCAGTTTCCTTAGCAAATGAGGGGCTTCAGATGCCCTAGCAAGGGGTCCCCTGTGTCAAAACTTTCTACATCTCCACAGTAATATATTTTCACCTTTAAAGCAGTTKAAGGAGTGACACGGATCATCAGCCAGTATCCTGAAGGAGGGAGAAAGGCTATGAGGGAAGCTGCCTTCCAACACCAGGCAGCATTACTAACCCAGAGAATTCATTCCACYGTGGGACAGTCACTCACAGTCTGCTTTGAACCTAATCCCTAAAAAGGTGATGGAAAAGGATATCGGGAAATTCCCAATATCTATGCCTTCTATCTTTCCCTAGAAACTTCCAGCGAATAAAAAAGACAATTTGGAAATGAAAGAGTTAGATGTTACTCAAATTTGAGGGCCATTATCAGTATAGGAAAACGATTTGAGCAGTTGGAGTATATCTTTCTCTGTATTACAAAGTAAATTCCTCATATTTAATCATTTTGATCAATTTTAACAGACAGCATGGATCAAACTGGTTAAAACTTTAATGATGTCATAATATTTATTAACAGCAGATCCTGAATATAGAAGATCTATGAATTCCCTAATCACTTCCATTTTATGAACTGGCTTTTAAAAAATAATCAAAGAAATGCTCTTTTGAAGAACAAAGTTTGGGGGCTTGGAGGAAGAAAAAGTGATCAGTATAAATGCTTCATAGATCCATCAGAGTTTTTAAGCCATTTAAATCCAACTATAGAAGATCAGATTCTGATCCGATATTATTTCTACATTTTTAGAACAACTTTTCACTCACAAATTCAAGGTGACAATGGCATTGAAAATATCCACAGAAAAGACTAGCATAAAATACAATAAGATGATAATAGTTGTTGCATTCAAGGGGTTATKTCTCCTTTCTGTATTTTTCAGTTGTTCTATGGCTATATATTTCTATAATAAAATTATCAATGAAGAAAGAATCCAAGGTTACAAAATATAGTCAACTTGATAAAATAATTCTTAAATGTGCAGAAAGGAGACATTCAACTAAGATCAAGAAGCTACCAGCTGGAAAGGCTCCAGGCAGATTTCAAGAGGGAGCCCATCAGCAGTGTTTCCTGGCAGTGATGTCCTCAGAGACAGGAAGCAGCGGGAGTCCCCTTCCCTAAGGCACCATGGATTCAAACCAAGGCAGATATACCAAACACTGATTTCTACACATTTATTAGCCTTATGTGCTTAGGGAATCTCAGAACACTTCTGAAATTTGCATTTGATTCAGTTTCAGGGTGGAGAGAGAGATTCTCATGCAGACACCTACATGACCAAAAACTGGTGGCCTCACTAGCAATGGCAACCATGGAAGGAAACCAGACCATCTCAGAGACGTTCCATAACCTATGGGTTTAGGGAAAGTTTAGCTAATATTGCTTTTTCAAATGATACTGCATAAACTCAACTATATTCATTTAAAAACCTGTATGCACAAGGCTATAAACCAATCTCACGTATTTTAAATTGGTATGTATCGCATCAGATAAATTTTTTAACTCATTTTTTTAATGTCATAGGGGATGTTACAAACTAGTAAATTTACCCAGAAAGAGGGATTACAAATGCTACTGATACGGGTTTATGAAAATATAAGTCCTTCAGTAAGGATTTCAGAGTCCATTTCTCAGCAAATCACACAGTCTGTGCCCAAAGGCTGTGTATCCACTAAAATGGCTTCTTTCCAATCTCTGAACAGCATCCCCTCCACACAGTGGTGTCTGGATGTTGGCCATCTGCCTAATCCCACGGGCTCCTCTAGCAGGGTCACAGCTGCTGGTTGGTGAAGAAGGACTTAGTCTCCCTGCAGACAGGATTTACACAGAGTGGACAACTCAGAGTCAGCTGCTTGGAGCACAGCTTGTTGGACTGGATGTGAGAGAGCACCAAATCGGCCAGGGCCTGCAAGACACACAAGGAGCACAGAGCCATCAGGAGCGAAGAGTCCGCTGGCCCCGGGACACCTACCTCCTCTCTGTCTGCATGACTGCTCTGGTTATCTGGGCTTCTTTTAATTGGAGTTGTGCAGCCCTTGAACTGAATTCTGTAACACTGTCCTTTACTGAGCTTCCTCAGTTTAAGGAAAGTTAAAATCAAGATTTTAGAAAATGAATCCTCTTACCCCACCCACTCTACCTTTTCTCTGAAAAGAAAATTTTAAATTAGACACAGTTATGGTGGGCAGACAGAAGAAAATGGGGGCTACCGAAAGGAGAAAGGAGGGAGTRGATGAGGGATTCGATCTTATTTTTGTAATTAATTGGAACTCCAAATGTTCTAATATGTGAGAAAACCAATATTCTGCAAGAGTTTCTCAGAGGATTACTCCCCGGAATGTTCTACTAAAATGGTTGTAACACTGCAGATACCTTAGAGAACAATGGATTTCCATTAAGAGACTCCGCTCTTCTGATGTTTTCAGCTCCACACTGAATCAAATGAGAAAGGGGAGGAAAAACACAGACATGTTTTATTTTCATTTTTTTTTTGTTTTTAAGAAACTGACTGCTAACAAAAATAATAAACAAACACATGCACACACAACTCACAGCCTGACTTCCAGTGTTAARTGACACACAGGGAGAGGGCACATAGGTTGATTCTTATCATAAATTACTCTTCAATTTCTATGTTTTCCCCCACCCCATTTCCTTYCCAAAGGTGGTTTGCTTCCAAACCATGTTTGAGATACTCCTTGATGGAATTCTCAAGTAATTTAAATCTGCTAACCATTTCTTTGATTCCAMTTTTCTAATGCATACTCTTACTGTCTCTACCTAAATAGAATGTTGTTTGGTTGGTTGGTTTTTTGGTGTTGGGGATTGAACCCAGGGCCTTGTGCATGCAAAGCAAGCACTCTACCAACTGAGCTGTATCCCCAGCCCCAGAATGTTGTTTTAATTAAGTAAAATTTCCTACTTGCTTCCATTTCAAGTGCCAAAATGAAGGAAATTGGTTTATGAACTCTAAGGTATATATTGGGAGGCTAGGGTTGCAGCTTAGTGGTAGAGTGCTCATCTAGCACTTGAGAGGCTCTGGGTTTGATCCTCAGCACCACATAAAAATAAATAAATAAAATAAAGGTATTATGTCCAACTACAACTAAATAATATATATATATATATATATATATATATATATTTAAAAAGATATATATTGGGTCTAGATTGGATCCACACGGTTTAGATTCTAAACATATTCCTACAGAAAAAAAAAATTTAACCTGAGTATTATTTTAGTATGACTTTTCTTTTCCCTGTCCAAAAACATCCAGTTAATTATCCCCAAAATAATTGAGAACTGTCTRACAGTGATGCGCTGGGGTAGTCATGCTCTTCTCTTTCCCCTTTCCTGCTGATGAGCTCATGGGTCACTTCAGTGTTAGACTGGCATTAACATCTGAAGATGGGCACAAGAATGCAGTAAGATTCCAGGCAAAAACCTCGMTCTCCACTGAAGAGGCTGATCCTAAAACCTCACACCAAAGTCAGTCGCAGCAGAATGACCAGTGCTGGCGGAGGACAGCCTCCCTCACTGCTGAAGGACAGTCAGGGCACATCTTCAGGAAAACTGAGAGGACAGTCAGCAATGCCATCCTTTCTAGGAACTTATCCAAAGAAAATAACTGAAAAAATGAAAACATTTATTCTACAGTAGTGTATGAGAATAAAAATTAAAAATGCCTTAAATATATATTAATCTCTATAAATGGATACTAATCTCTATAAAAATAATTAGAGATCTAATTATATTTACTAATGAGTTCATAATATACATTTTTAAAGAAAAAAGATTATAAAACAGTATGAATAAACAAGCAGAAACAAGAAACCTAGTTTTATTAAAATACATATTTACTTATTAGGGGAAAAAGGGGCGTATCTTTATCAAAATATGAATAGATGTTCTCTCTTGGGGTAAGATTATGAGTGCATTCTATTCTCTATGTCATACACATTCTATTCTCTCTGTGCTAATATCTTTATTATTTTTATTATCAAAAAGCAATAAAGTAATTTCTATTTAGGGAGAATTTTTWAAACTTTTTGAAGTTAGTTATTTTAAACATTCTGTATTCTGCCATAAAAATAATGAAATAAACTATAGTTTAGTTGGTTTTCTTTAATCAATATAGGGCCTAATTTATTAGCTACTAATAATTGCTTTGGTTACTAAATAATATGAATGGATGAGATTGTCATTCAGTACAGACAAAAACTTGTTTTCCAAACACAGGGGTATGAACCATATTTTTACTGCAATCTTTTTTATAAAATGCACAATTGGCCCACGTGATCATGGGATACAGAAGAATCATCAAACAAAATGCATAAGCAATGACACTGCCTCACCTTGGTCACTTACAATCTGCCTGCCTGCAAATTCTTCTTAATTGTGGACGAGCAAGTTTAGAACCTTCTTACCTTCCTGGATGTTTGAGACCAGCAATGTATACACAAATAATGAGGCTGGGGATTGGCTRAGGTTCTGCCCCCACCCACTCTCCACCATGCCCAGCACCWGCCACCCARTTCCRAGGGGTTACAGTGCTTTGCAAGGCCCAGGCCTCCGTCAATGGAGATAACCAGGAATTCTGGCCGAAGATGAGAGGGAAAAGGGGCTTTCTGAGTCCCCATGCTTCCACAATCTCACAGAAACAACTTAAATTGGACACAGTTTTCAGGCCATCCCTCAGAAGCCATGAGATAGGTAAGCAATAGTTTTTCTCCATCCTGAACATCCATCTTATGAGATACCAAGGTGGTATTATTTCAATAATCAGATTGATTACARCATGGTAGCAAACAGCTAATTAAGTGAGTGCATAAAAGAGGTCAAGGAAATCACAACACACTCTGCTTCTTGTTCATTCCRTGCTCTTCTCTGAAATGACAACAAGCCCTATATGCCCTGAAATCCAAACAGAAACAGTRGAATAGCCTAYGTAAATGATACAACCATATTGGTAAAGAAAAGGAATTATGGAACAGGGAAAAATTTTCCATCTGAATAGGTAATGTATATAATTCACTTTTCTTAAAGGAATGCAGCTTTATTATTTTCATATACTACAGTCATCTGAACTAAACAAAATGATCCCTGGGCCACCTGGTTTAAAAAGGCACAAAAGTAACTCCAGACGTAACTCTGCGTGTWGAGACTATCACACAGATGAAGCATTATTTAAAACAATGAGGCTGGAGTATCTGCAATCACATATAGCAAACAATATTTTTGAATGACAGGTGTCTGTAGAGAAACTTTCCTTTTAAAACAGATCACAATGGGCTTAATAAGCCAGATGGGAGTGCTCACCTCCTTGGCTAAAACTTGAGAGTACTCGATATCCAGTTCGTACAGTGTTTCAATGTGATCACTGGTAAATGCTATTGGGACCAAAAGGATATTCTTCCTCCCCCTCTCACAAAGTCCTTTGATAGACTCATCTGTTTGAGGACCCAACCAGGGCACTGGACCAACCTATGAGAAAGGAGGATGAGCACATAAATAAGTAAATAACAGTCTGTCATTACAATTAAAAATAAAATATTAAGCCAATAGAACTCAACTAATCCTTTGATTTCCTTTTATCTTTTATCTTACTCGCTCAGTGAATTCTTTTTGCCCAGGATGAGCAAGCAGGTCATAGAGCAGTCTATCTATGTGGATGAACTGAACTGAATCATTTTATAGCTAAGTCCTGAACCAGATGATCTTGAGGGCRGACTGCAAATGTGTGAAAGCCACCTACCTTGGACTGCCAAACCAGGCGGTAGGGGTTGGAGTAACCCAGCCTCTCCATGACTTTGTGGACAGTGGCGCCTACCTCCTGAGGATAGGGGTCCCCTCTGTTGACCACCTGCATCAGAGACACAAGGGTGTTCAGTTGCCAACATCATGAAAAGCTCCAAGAGCTTCCGACTGTGCGGTAACATGGTGTGAGTCCCAGACCAGAGTCTTCCCTGTCTCTGGCATTAAAGACAATATCATCTGAGCAATCATGGTGCTTCACTGGTTCCATTTCTTCACTGGCCAAAGAGAACAACTATACTCRATCACCTCCAAGATCCCTAAGAAGATTTAACAATTCTACAATGTTGATTGTAGGAGATTGACAAAGTCAATTATGGAGGATTGTTCCCCCAACCCCCACCTCTGATAGGAAAAATAACACAAAGAAATTGGGCAGGAAGAGCCAACATGGGACAGAAACCTGTACCTATGTAGTGAWGGGAGTGGATGATTTTAAAGCAGGAACTGAACACATGCTGTATGGACGAATATGCAGCTGCTGAGTTTACGATAAACTCCAAGGGAACAAGAGGAGGAAGGAGGAAGCGTGTGGTTCAGACTCCAGGCTCCTGGGGAACATGACCTGTGTCTTCTGCTTCCTTTTCTCTCCTCTCTCCCCACAACAATGGACAGTAGACAAATGCTCCKTGTGCAGCAAATGTCTGATACACGTTCTGTCAGGACAGCCTGCTACTACATTTGAAAATGTCTGGTGCAGAAATTTTAACTGTTTTAATATTTTCCTGTGTACCGATTCCCTACCTTCTCACCCTGCTTTATTTTCTTCTCTGACATCTCTTACCTTTTATTCTACATTGCTATTTTCTTACGTATTATATTTAGTATCTTTTACTGCTACTCTCCAGAGACAAAGATTTTTGACTGTTTTCTTCCTTCTCATATCCTATGAGAGAACAGTACCTAGATTATAATTGGTGCTCAATAAATACTGTATTATTGACATGAAATACTGACAAACTATATTTTATGATATTACCTTTGGTTAAAAAGCCATTAGAAGCAAAATATAAAAGAAATGAAGGAAATACAAAGTGGCCATTAGGACAGTGTATTAATGATTGCTACACCCCAATGCTAAAATCAGTGGCAAAAATCTGAGGAATAACAAAATTTTGCATAGTTCCAAAGCATCTCCTCCAAGGTATTTTTAATTGCAAAGAGAAAAACAGTAACTTTTCCAGGGATAAATATAGCAGATACCACCTTAACCAAATAACCAAAGACCATGTCACYAGGAATAAACACACCAATGTCACAGAGCCCTACATGATTCACTGAGAAGAGTGCTCCTGCTAATACCACACAGTCACAATCCAATCATGGGAAAATACCAGATAAACCCCAAATGGAGGGACACACCAAAAGCAATGGAATTCGGGAAATAGCTCTTCAACCTAGCAGAGCAATAAAAGAAAAGCACGAAAAACTGTCATAGATTGGAGGATACTGGCGAGAAAAGACTGCCAAACACAGCGTGGGACCCAGGAACAGAAAAAGGACACTGGTGGGAAAATGAGTAAAATCCAAATAAAGTCTGCAGTTTAGTCAACAGAATTGCACCAATGCTCACCTCTCAGTTTGATACTGTACTATTTTATGTAAGATTTAGTATTAGGGGAAGCTGGATGAAGGGCATATGGGACTTCTCTGTACTCTTCAGGCCACTCTTTGRTAAGTTTAAAAATTATTTCAAAGTAAAAAAGTTATTAGTTATGAGTATAGGTGAAAAGAGGGCTTCCTAGGTCAGTTTTCTTTCTTGACAGTCCTGCCACCTTCCCTAGCCTTGGTGACTTCATGGCATCCCTCAGTCCCTAACAGGAACCCAGAAGCACAGGACCATGCCCAGTCCCTGCAGGAAGGCAAGGGAAGGGAGACCGGAGGTGAGAGACCACAGGAGGCACAGGGAATGTTCCAGTGCAAAATGTTCTCCTGGCCCCGTTCAGGAGCTGCCCTCTGGCACTTCAGGTTTCATCACACATAGGACGGGTACGTGAAGAGGATCTGCATGGGGCTGGGGCTGGGGCTRGGGCTCAGTGGTAGAGTGCTTGCCTTGCATGTGTGAGGCCCTAGGTTCGATCCTCAGCACCACATAAAAATAAATAAATAAAATAAAGATATTGTGTCCAACTACAACTAAAAAATATTTTTTTTAAATTTTTTTAAAAGAAGATCTGCATAACACCAGCAAAGAGAATATAATACTCTTAAAATGAAATAGGCAAGAAGGGAGAAATTTATCTCCAGAGCCTACTGCCCAAGCAGCGACTGCCTAATTGAGGTATAGGAGAGGACACGCTGCACAGGGCTTGGCTCTGATGACCACCAAGGACACGCTGGCTCCATTAACCATCAAATTCAAACTTTAATCACACTTAAGAAAATATAATTCTCATCCCTCTGGCTTGGAAAGCAATATTTTTTTGCTGTTATTACTTTGCTTTGTTTTCCAGTACTGGGGACTGACCTCAGTGGCACTTCACCACTTCACTCAGATCTTTTTTTATTTTTTATTTTAAGATAGGATTTCTCTTAAGTTGCCCAGGCTGGCATGGAACTTGCAATCCTTCGCCTCAGCCTCCCTAGTAGCCGCTATTACAGACATGCACCACCGCACCCAGCATTGAAAAGCAATGTTTTTAGGACCCAATACCAGTTTTGAGCTGATGAAACTAATTACTTATTCCAAGCCCTTCTATAAATTACATGGTGCTGAGCACAGTGACGCACACCTATAATCCCAGTGGCTCAGGAGGCTGAGGCAGGAGAATCTCAAGTTCAAAGCCAGCCTCAGCAAAAGCAAGGCACTAAGMAACTCAGTGAGATCCTATCTCTAAATAAAATACAAAAAAGGGCTGGGGAAGTGGCTCAGTGGTTAAAAGCCCCTGGGTTCGACTCCCAGTACCAAAAACAAACATCACAATATATTTAAATTATATGGCATTATCATGGGAAAATACCAGATAAACCTGGTATTTTAACTGGATCTTGTTTCTAAATATTTCACTCTCATGGCCCAGTTTGTGGTACTTTCATAAACAACTTGGTGTAATATGATGAACTAAGGAGCAACCAGATCACAATCTGCTGTGCTATGTATTCACTTGCCAAAATAGTCTTCATAAATCAGAAACTATACTTTCTTCCTGGAATTCAAATGGCCTGTACCAAGTCTTGAGAACAGAAGAATAGAACTGGGGGACCTGGTCTGAATGGTGGCTGGCTGTATAACTGAACACACTTAAATACCAGCCTCAATGGRGCAGGCAAAAACTCTTCCTTTAACAGTGCTACTTCCTAGAAATTCTTCTATATATCTCTTCCAATTATCAWTTTAAGAGAACTAAGAAAATATTTACAATATTTTAATTTGTATTGTTATGAGGTTGCAAATACTGAGTCAAAGGAAATCTGTACCAAGTTAAGTCTAGAATTTTAGAAGTCATTCTTCCATAAGGGATTAGAACCTTTTGGAGCTACATTCATTTTACATATCTAGAAGACAAAACAACCCAGTCTCCAACCACTAGGTCACCCAACAAAATGCTCTTACTTACAGACATTGGCAGTGAGTGAGCAGAAAACAGAATGACCACCTCATTCCTCTTCTCAGGTGGGAAATGGTCCAGTTCTTTCAGAATGTGGTCTGCAAAGCACTGTGGGAATCCCAAGAAAGAAGGAAACAAGGAAATAGGAACAAAAAAGTGGAAGGCAAGAAAATATTTCAAAAATAAGAGTTATACCAAAAGTCTCAGAGCAACTCTAAARAATCAGAACAGTTTTT